GTCTCTCCCCGCGGGTGTCTCCGTCGGTCGCCGGCGGCGGCGGGCGGCGGGCGGCGTGGTGAGGGGAGAGGCGAGAGGAGGAGGGGGGTGGGGGGGAGGGGAGGAGAGGAATAATGCAGAGCGGGGGGGCGTTGGAGTGGTGGATTTTATTCAGATGTCAGGGGCAGGGGGGCACCGAAAAAAAAAAGAGAATGGGATATGCCACATCTTCTCTTCTCCGGGGTTTTCATTTAATTAATTAACTAAGAATAAATGATTTATTAGTGGAAATAATACGGTTGGAGCTTTCCTAGTTATTCATTTCACATATTTATTATTCTCTTGATGTGGCCTGGATAAGATATATCTATATATCATCGAAATAAATATAAGCTTGATTGCTAGTTTTGCCCGATATGAGAGGCGTGGACGTCCGGTGGTTGGTTAGTGTGCGTGTGTTGGCTCACAAGTGTGCCTTGTGAAAAAAATTTAAAACAAATTTCATGCTGAAACTTTGGAGGTTGGGTGCCCTCCTTTTTTGGGTGTGTGTGTTTTCTTTCCTTATATTATGGGAGTTTTGGATATGCTTCCGTCTTGTTTATCTCGAAGGCAAATCATGGAGCACAAGCAGTGTTTCGGGAGGCCCTAGGCGAATTCGATGCCATGTGCCCCTATGTCTTAAGATCATATATATGTATGTGCGTGCGTGGTACATAAACTTAAACATAATAATTGTTGGACAATGCCATATTACGACAGAAATATTAAAAAGATAGAAAATTGAAAGTAACATGATATGATTACCTCAAATAAGAACCAAATTCAACTAACTCCATCGACAACAATAATACTTAAGTACCCTTCAGTTGTTGAATCTTCAGATCCCTTTCTATCTTTTTTCTCCTTGTTTGAGCAACTGACAAATGCTTCTTAGGCAACATGGCGGGCTAATGTCCTAATATTATGAAGAAAATTATTCAAGGAATTAGAAATTTATACATCAGATGATTTGAATGATTGGAACCCTAGACATGTGCATAGAATGACAAAAAAAAGGATGGTTGAATACATACTATGAAAGATTGAATTCGAAAATTATACACTAAAATTTGGAACTTCGTGTACACTGAAATTAGAGGATGGATCATGGATGAATAGTTGAATACGTTCTAAAAAATAAAAGAAATTACTGAAATTGGGGTTTGCAGGGATGGATCAGGAACATGGTACAGAGAGTTATGCATGGATACGTATACGTACTGCTGTGGGCTGCGCTCACTGCTCACATACATACGTATACGTACTGCTGCGGGCTGCAGCTGCTGGATTGCCGCACGGCGGGCGACGCGCACAGCGGTGACCGAGGCGACCACAGCGACGAGTGGACGAACAGACGAGCGAGGCGTCCGCGAGATCTTCGATTGATTTGTTTCACAATCGAAACGCACGGCCCCGCCGTGCGGCGTGCGTGACGCTTCGCTAATCGCTACCTGCTATCTGATGGGCCTACCTCATCTCGTTTTTCTTCTCTCATAATTTTTTTTTCACCTATTTTTGCTTGGCTATATTATATATGTGCACTACATCATGGGCCCCTCCCTGGGCTGGGCCTTGGGCCGTCGCCCCCCTGCCCATGCCCCAGGGCCGGCCCTGAGCACAAGCAACCGTATTTTATTGTTGAAATGAAATGGTTTGTAACAGCAAACCGTACCGGGATAACAATAACAAATAATGGGAGTATGTGTTTGGAGAACTCATGTGAAATATAGTTATCAATAATAGCGCCAAAAAGTGCGTTTAATTAGGTATGATGCACGCCTTTTGTTATATATAAAACGCAAGAGATTCCAAGAAAAGATCGGCGATGGTTTTATTTCGGCTCTTAGTTTCCTCTTGTTTAGGGTCCATATCGCTAGATATCTTTATGGAGACATGTCAAATACATGTAGTAGGAAACGATCCCAATCGAAACGAGATGGCTTGGATGGCATGTCGCCCCGTCGTGTTTCTTTCTCCTGCCCTTTCTCTTGTCACGCATGATATCGATGTTTAAACAACTTGGCAGACTGCTGTCATTTTTCCCGTCTCCCGTTTACCTCAAACACACAAAGAAAATACAGTATATTGATTTTACCAGTGTGGTTTGCTTGCAAGTACTCCCTCCGTTCCAAAATAAGTGTCCGTGGGTAGAAATTAGTTTCTGCTGTGATGGCTCCTTGCAAGATGTAGGGCAAGCAACACATGATTGTGTCACGCCCCAAAGCGCAACCAGCCCAACTTGCCCTGTGCCCAAAAGTGGCCACCCTCCATGGCATGGCATGGCACCCATCTCTGTCCCTCTAAACAATGTGTCCATCATCCACTGGTGATGGAGCAGCACAGCAGCAAACTACTAATTGCTAGACCCCAGATTTAACAAGTGAAACCGAGATCAACACAGAGATCTAGCAGTGGTAGCAGCTAGTGCCAGCATAGTGCCCACCTCTCCCTCCCCAAGTTGAGGCCTTTTTGTATGGGCATCTTTGATCCCCATCAGATGCCGAGCCCGAGACAGGGAGAAATAAAGAAGCCAATCTTGACCTGCTAATTAAATTATCACGCACTAATTAGTCCAAGGAATGGTTAGTTAATTAATCATGTGTCTGAGTGGCCCCTCCACTGGCCGGCGATTCCATGCGCCCCGCTTTGGGAATTTTTAAAAACCGTCGGAGTTGGATCGGCCCTTGCTTTCGGGCTGATCCTGGATCGATGCGCGCGGATCAAATCGTGGCGTCGACCCGACCTGATTTGAATGCGTGTTTAATTTAACTCGTCGTTGGAAAAAAGGGCGCCGATATGTGGTGGCCAGGAGTTTGCATGTGTTTTTTCCTGGGTTATTATGAGATGGGATTTGGCTTTAGGCGACAGGTGCTTGGAGGCAGGGACGAGCGTGTCGAGGAATTATTAGCGAACTTTTTAGTAGTTTGTTTATGAAAGCAGGGAATGTGGAGAAAGGTTTACTGTTTGCTTGGTGCTGGGTGCGACGGTCATCGCTCCATGGACAGAAAGAAAAGAGGGGAGGATAATTGACCACTCATGCTGCAATTTGCATGATGTAAATTGGCCACCCGGTGCATTGTTATGTGTGAGCTAGCCGGTCTGTCTCATGACCTGACCTAGCTGGTGATCATTCCTATTGCTTTCATCTTTACTTTACCTTTTCTTTTTCTTTTTACTTTTCAGAGTGCTGGATTTTTCTGCGGCAACAGCAATCTTGACGCGAGTAACACT